AAAAAAAAAAAAAAAAAGTGAAGGAAAGAACAACAGATATAAATTCTAGTAGAAGAACTTAAGGATAGGAAAGGAGTTGGAAAAGCTAATTTCCCACGTACCGGGCATGTTCAAGGCCAATCTAGATAGAATATGAGGTATATCTGCAGCTGTAGTGGGGATTAAGAGTGGAAATACAAGTTAAATAATGAATGCCACATTAAGAGTTTGTACCTAATTCAATAAACAACTAGGGAAAATACAGTCCATTCAAGATTTGAGGCAAGAAGTATCCATTTTATTTTTAGACAGATCAAAATTATAGAACATGCAACTAATTACTGAGAGAAAGGATAAACGTTTCCTTAAACAACTGATAATAAACCACTTAATAGATTCAGTAATACTATCTATCCTTCATGTTAGAATACAATGTGAACATTTCATTCATCGCTAAGTCTATTATCTTAGTTTGCCACTTAAATCATTTCTTAAAGCTTTTTTTTTTTTTTTTGGAAACAGAGTCTCACTTTGTCACCCTCGGAAGTATAGTGCTGTTATAGCTCACAGCAACCTAAAACTCTTGGGCTCAAGTGATCCTCTTGCCTCAGCCTCACAAGTAGCTGGGACTACAGGCGCTGGCCACAGCATCTGGCTATTTTTAGAGACAAGGTCTCACTCTGGCTCCGGCTGGTCTCAAAGTCCTGAGCTCTAGTGATCCACCTGCCTCAGCCTCCCAGAGCACTAGGATTACAGACAAGAGCCCTGCCCTGTAACCTATCCTTTTTTGTTGTTGTTGTTCTTAATCAGGCCCAGGCAAGGCTCGAATTCACTGCCTCTGGTTTAGCAGGGCCAGTGCCCTAACTACATTACTTTTCAAATGTAGGACCAATATTTAAACTAAAATAGATTAACTGTAAATACTACGTATGCTAAGTGATTAGAAAAAGTATATTTGCAATCAAAAGCTCTACTGACAATTATAAAATGTAAATAAAGTCTATTACTGATAGCTGGCAACAATTTTTACATAATTTCATGATGAATCAAAAAGCTCTAAATATTTTTGAAATCAAAATTTTGGATTCCTATGTTAACTAAAATATACTGTAACCCAGAGTATCAAGAATATAAAATAAAACTAAATGTTCTTCCTAAGTTTAGATCGTTTGTGTCTCCTGCCCCCAAGAAGTATGCTCTACACCATGACCCCCATAAATCCCCTCTCTCCACTCCCTCATTCCCCTAACCCCACCTTGTATTAGATCATCTACGGCTTTCATATTAGAATTGTATACCCTGGATTCTTGCTTCTCCGTTCTTGTGATGCTTTACTAAGAAGAATGTGTTCCACCTCCATCCAGCTTAATACAAAAGATGTAAGTCTCCATCTTTTTTAATGGCTGAATAGTATTCCATGGGATACATATACCACAGTTTGTTAATCCATTCCTAGGTTGGTGGGCATTTAGGTTGTTTCCACAGTTTGGTGATTATAAATTGAGCTCCAATAAAGTCTAGTGCAAATGTCTTAATTCAAAACTCTATTTTTTTGTTTTGAGACACAGTCTCACTTTATCACCCTCAGTGGAGTGGTAGATTTTTTTTCTTCTGGGTAGGTGCCTAGTAATGGGATTGCAGGATCAAATGCGAGGTCTAATTTGAATTCTTTGAGGATTTTCCATTCTTCCTTCCAAAAAGGTTGTATTAGTCTATAGTCCCACCAGCAGTGTAAAAGTGTTCCCTTCTCTTCACATCCACATCAGCATTTATCTGCAACTTTAAGACTTTGTGACGTGGGCCATTCTCCCTCGATTAGGTTCTATCTCAGGGTAATTCTGATTTACATTTCGCTGATGATTAGGGATGATGAGCATTTTTTTTTTTTTTTTCAGTTTTTGGCTGGGGCTGGGTTTGAACCTGCCACCTCTGGCATGTGGGGCTGGAGCCCTACTCCTTTGAGCCACAGGCGCCACCCAATGATGAGCATTTTTTTTCTTTTTTTTGACGGTCTCACTTTGTTGCCCTCAATATAGAGTGCCATGACATCACAGCTCACAGCAACCGCAAACTCAAGTAGTTCTCTTACCTCAAGTAGGCTCAAGTAGTTCTCTTACCTCAGCCTCCCAAGTAGCTTGGGGCTACAGGCGCCGGCCACAACACCTGGCTATTTTTTTTTTTTTTTTTAAGAGACAGGGTCTCACTCTTGCTTGGGCTGGTCTTGAACCATGAGCTCAGGCAATTTACCCACCTCAGCCTCCCTGAGTGCTAGGATTACAGGCGTGAGCCACCATGCCCAGCTGATGAGCATTTTTTCATGTTTTGTTAGCCACTTGTCTGTCTTCTTTAGAGAAGGTTCTATTCATGTCTCTTGGCCAGTAATACATGGGATTGTTGGGTCTTTTTTTGTTGATTAATTTGAGTTCTCTGTAGATCCTAGCTATCAAGCTTTTGTCCAATCTGTAATATGCAAATATCTTTTCCCATTTCAAAGGAAGTTTAGATCTTCGAAAAAAATTTAATTCCAGTATTGGGTATGTTATATTCAAGGCCAAAATTTTATTTCTTAAGTCTAACCACCTTTTTTTCCTCCAATTAATCTGCATAGTCTTACATTTGTCCACTTTTCTTAGGTAGCACAATAACCTAATCTTGTTCATCTTTAGTTTCTAATGAACATTCATTCTAGTAATCTACCACCTTGTCCATTCCTCAAAAATAATTAGTTGTTAGCAGAGGAAAATGTGCAGAGAACTCACAAATCTTTAAAAACTGTTAACTACCTCAGCTTTTCTGCTTGGTCTTGTATTATCCAGTGTTGTTCAGATTCTTTTTTTTTTTTTTTTGCTCCCACACATAGAAGTAAATAGCTCCGCTGCGCAGTGATAAAAACGCAATACTTAAGTAACAACAGATGACTGACATTTTTACAACCCCCATTATAATGAGAACTAAATCTTTTCATGAGTTATTTCACACATAAAGTTGGAAGTAATAATTTTATTACCAAAAAAAATAGAAGAAAACCTGCCACACTCCTAGCTTAGAGTTACAATTATACTTTATTTTAGCTTCAAGAAAAACACATCTATGAAAGACAAAATAGATGCATGATGAACTCAGGTCAATACCTGGCCCTCGTTCTAATATTATTACTTGTTTGAAACATTAATGTTAAAATTTAGCATACTCTATCTTTGCCATAATTTCCCATCACAGTCTTATTTACATTAAATTGTCACTTTAAGCTGGGCAGGGTGCTCACTCTGTTGCCCAGGCTTGAGTGCCATGGCGTCAGCCTAGGTCATAACCACCTCAAACTTCTGGGCTCAAGCAATCCTCTCACTTCAGCCTCCCAACTAGCAGGGACCACCGGTGTCTGCCACAATGCCCTGCTCATTTTTCCTATTTTTAGTAGACACAGGGTCTTGCTCTTGCTCCAGTGGGTCCCAAAACTCCAGATGTCAAGTGATCCTCCCATTTCAGCCTCCCAGAGTGCTAGGATTACAGGCATGTGCCACCACACCTAGTCTTAAATTTAGATTTCTGTTAAATCATATTTGGATAGTTTGTTATGACCTAAATGTTATTTTCCTTTAGAAAGTCCCTTTCCATTCTCTTATAAGAGCCTGTAAAACAGGAAAATCCATCCTAGCCTATTCCTTTACTTAATCGAAGTCTTAATCTTCCCAACTCTCACCTTAATCACACTTCCCATCTTGCCTAATACATTTCCCTTTTATGGATTCAGGAATTCCCTATACAGGAGACACCAGGACAGAGGCTCACCGCTTTAATGGAAAGGAAGTGAGAAAGTCTTGCTCACCATTTTACTGGCTTCCAGACACCCCTGTATCTTTCCAAACCAACTACGACTTTTACTGACAGGGAGGCCCTTCCAATTGCCTCTGGTCTCATGCGTTCAATCCCCTTGCCTCAAAACTCCTGCCTCGGCTCGGCGCCTGTGGCTCAAGCGGCTAAGGCGCCAGCCACG